ACCCACTCAGATGAATTCTCGGACTGTCCCAACATACCCAGGTTTTGACCCCCACTAAGGATCTCACTGATTGGCATATCAAAGATAGACCAATCCAACACCTAGTGTAGTACCATAATCGGGTCTAGGGGTTAGGTGTAACTTTCTAGTTTTGCCCATCAATCTCCAAGGTCCAGGGCAATACTGGAAATCAGGTCTGGTTCAAGGGTTCAAGTAATCCTACACTGCATGTGCCTTGGGTCTCACCCTGGCGGCTGAGACAAGCCACCCCAACAGTTAGCAGCACACCAGTGTCAGCCTCGGCAAGATAAATCTCCCCAGACTTATCCAACGGCTGTGAACATTTAAAACCAACACAAGTCTCATTAAGTGTCCAGATTTAGGGTCTTACACACAAAAGTATACCACACAACATGAATCAAACTTGCACTTCATTTATTTACATTAAATATCAAAAGTACATCAAAACTTATTGAAGCTAAGGGCATACAAAAACTGTCCAACAGTCCCTGGGCCAAGCCACCTTATAAAAACCCAGGGACTATAGGCAGATGCAAGATTAGCCCATCAAGTATTACCCTCAATGGTCTTACACTTAACCTAGGGCTACAAGGAACAATGTTGCACTCTCTATTCACATGGATCCCGAGAATTAAAACCTTTTGCAAACATTTTGAAACCGTAATATATATGTATATCTTTATATAAATATATTTTGCAAAAAAAATTTCAACGATTGAAATCGGCTGCCAGCAGTCTTGGTTTCCATCAGAGAGAGTCCATCCCCGATCATTACCTTTGTCTGACAAAGGGGCTGATCCTGCCACTATGATCACCCACTCAGATGAATTCTTAGACTGTCCCAACATACCCAGGTTTTGACCCCTTCTAAGGATCTCATTGATTGGCATATCAAAGAGACCAATCTGACACATAGTGTAGTATCATAATCGAGTCTAGGGGACAGGTGTAATTTTCCAGTTTTTCCCATCAATCTCCAAGGTCCTGGACAATACTAGAAATCTGGTCTGGATCAGGGATTCAAGAAAACCCACACTGCATGCACCTCGGGTCTCACACTAGTAGTTGAGACAAGCCACCCCAACCAACTTGGCGACACATCAGTGTCAGCCTTAGCAGGATAAATCTCCCCAGACTTATCCAATGGCTGTGAACATTCTAAACTAACACGAGTCTCATAAGTGTCCAGTTTAAGGGTATTACACAGAAACACACCATAATAACATGAATCAAATATGTACTTTATTCATTTATAATAAATGTCATAATATACATCATTCTGATTGGAGCTAAGGGCATACACTGTCTAGCAGTACTTGGATCCATCCATCTTATGAAGGCCCAAGGACTATTAGCCCATCAGGTATAACCCTCAATGGTCTTACACTTAACCTCTCAGCCTTTAATGATCAAACACTGCTCGACGAGAGAGAACCTCTCCCTCGGCTCCAAGGTACAGTGCTGCACTCTCTACTCACATGGATCCTAGGAATTAAAACCTTTTGCAAATATTTTGAAACCATTATATATATATATATATATACACGTATATCTCTATATAAATATATTTTGCAAAACAAATTTCAATGATTGAAATCAACTGCCGGTAGTTTAAGTTTCCCCCAAAGAGAGTGCATTCCCCGATCATTCACTTTGTCCAACAAAGGGGCTAATCCTATCACTATGATCACCCACTCAATTGAATTCTCGAACTATCCCAACATACCCAGGTTTTGACCCCCTCTAAGGATTTTACTGATTGGCACATGAAAAACAACCCAATCCGGCACCTAGTGCAGTATCATAATCGAGTCTAGTGGTCAGGTGTAACATTTCAGTTTTGCCCATCTATCTCTAAAGTCCAGAGCAAAACTGGAATTTTGGTCATGTTCAAGGTTTCAAGAAAACCCACACTGCATGCACCTTAGGTCTCACCCCGGAAACTGAGACAAGTTATCCCAACCAACTTGGCAGCACATCAATGTCAGTCTTGGTAGGATAAATCTCTCCAGATCTATCCAACGACTGTAAAGGTTCTAAAATAACACGAGTCTCATATGTGTCAAATTTAAGGGTATTACACAGAAACTATGATGAGAGTAGAATTTATCACATTTTTATCCCCAAATATTCTGTCTTGCATACTTAATTAGTACTTAATTGGACTCATATTTCTTGTATTTCGGTTCAGGGCATGAAAGAAGGCATCAGGAGCAAAGAAAGGCAAATCGGATGATTTTTCACAGTTTCGATACCGTTCAGTAATCTGGGCCTAACTCGCATATCCGAACTCCGATTGGGCTGATTCAAGACTCACTAGATAGATAAGAGAAAAAGGCACAACTTTCATGTTTTGGGATTTTGCAGATTCGGCCTGCATCGAAGTTAAATCCGGGCCCAAAGTCGGTGCAAATTCGTAGGAAGGCCCAATCCGCAGCTTAAGCCTAACTTGCAGAAAAGCCTTACAGCAGCCCAATTCGCAGAGGAGGTCTAATACGAATCCAAGAACAAGAAACTGAGAAGAGTCTTATCAGGTCTAAATTTATGATGTAATCCCATAAAGATAAAGAGATTGAGTTGATTAGATAAAGAGATAAGAGTAGGATTAGACTAGGACTTTCTATTTTTGAGAGATAAACTCAAGGAGTTGGAGACCACCCCCTCCCCTTTAAGCTATATAAAGGGATGGGGGGCGGACTAGAGAGGCATCAAGAAGCAGAGGAGCAATCCAGCTATCAAGCAAGAAGTCTGCAAGAAGGAGGTGGTGGCAAGGAGAAGAGGAGATCTCAACTCCAAGGGCGAAACCATGAGTTTTTTTTTTTTCCTCTTGTTTGTTTTATTTATGCTAGTATGAAATAATTTATCTGTAGTTAGGGTTATGAAAAACCTAATCATATCAATGAATATATTTTTATTCTGATTTATTCAAGATCGTGATTTCCATATAGTCTATGATTTATCTTGCTTAATGCTATTAGGAGTGACCATCTCTTAATTGATCAGGCGTATGTGAATGAATCGAGAGAGGAATTCACATAGCTGACCATATAATTCATGGTGTGAATTGAATGGTATATAGGGGTATATACACATGATTCATCTGAATATAATAGTTTTTCCTTGGACTTAATTAGCTTCTATCTTGAGAACTCTAGTCAAGAGA